AAAATAAAAAATTCGAACATATTCTGAACGACAACCGTCACTCTTTTATTACACTGTTAAACGTATTGCACTGGATATTTTAGCAAGATCGTATATCCGATGTTTAAGACATGTACGTCTCACTTCACTGATCAAAATCCTACAAAACGTAAATTTGTATCACAAAAATTTCACGTACTCAAACCATTAGTTCCTAGTACCGTACATTATAATGAGAGTTGTGAACAAAATTAACAAACACATCATTATGTGCTGTTCATGTAAAAAGTTCCTGAGAACACATAATATATCAAAATCCAATAATAAATGGAATTAAGCCATATTTGCTTATTAACACAAATACTTTTACGAAGTGGTTAGAAAAACAATGAAACAGCGAGCTGCACTAGTTTATATCTTCAGCTGTATCTTTGGTGACAAAACAGAATATCCCGGAATTGTAGTATGTGTTTCTTGTTATTCAAAGTAGTAAAAATCCAAAGAATATTATCAGGCTTGGTATCTGGTGAGGATCACGTAGTTTCATCTGTGATTTCCCTTAGTATCGTTACTTACGTGCACTGAAGCAAGGTGAAATATACATAGCCTTGTTTATAAAAATATGAATCATTTTAAAAAAAAATTGTTCTTATCGGTGCCAGAAGAAAGTATTCAACCCAAATTTTGCAATTTTACTCAGGTTGTGGAGGCAACTGTGGGAGCAGCAGTGGTTACTACGGGAACAGCAATGGGAGACACTGTATGTAATAAATCTGTATGTTTTTTGAGTTCTTCTTTCAAGTCAAATCCCTCCCCACATACATCACATCTATATGGCTTGTCCCCGTGCGTTCTTACGTGGTACTTGTAATTACCGAGCTGGTTGAATGCCTTGCCGCAGCGCCGACAGCGATATGGTTTCTCACCAGTGTGTATCATTAAATGTCGCTGCAGATGTTTTTTGGTAATGAATGCTTTGAAGCAGGTTTCGCATACATGTGGCCGAACACCGGAGTGGCACTTTGCGTGCTCTCGTAAGCGGTCTTTGTTGAGAAATCCTTACCACACTCCATGCACATGTAAAGGGTTTCGCGTGTGTGACTGTTCATGTGTCTTTCCAGCAGCCTGTTCGTGGGATAACTTTTAGGACACATCCGACACTGGAACGGCTTCACTTCAGAATGTGTCAGCAGATGCATTTTCAAAGACGTTGATTTTGAAAATGCCATTCCACACTGCTCACATAGGTATGGCTTCTCACCAGTGTGAGTCATCATATGCGAAGCAAGCCCGGTCGAGACGGCGAATCGCCTGCCACATTTCTTGCATTGATGTGGTCTCTTGCCTGTATGTGTGAGCATATGTTTTGTTCTATCTGACGATGATATGAAACGCATATCGCAACGGCTGCACGGATATGGTTTCTCTCCTCTATGTCTTCGCATGTGCTCCTCCAAGTTACGAGGACGGGTAAAATACTTCAAACAGAGCTCACATTGGTAATTTTTTTCACCTGTGTGTATTCTCATGTGCCTGTAGATATGTCCCCTCTGAGTGATACCACTACCGCATTCTCCACAATAAAATAACTTTTTAGTCAGAGTATCCGGACTATCAGTACTACATGCAGATGATTCAGGAGTGGTAGAATCCGGTGTGCCATGCAGGCACTTTTTACACTGGTATAGCTGCTTCCCCATCAGAACATTTTTTATACGCACAACAGAAGCTGGGAGGTAAAACTTTTTACAGAATTCACACTGCGCAGCTGCTCGATCATCTTCAGTTTTCAGAAACACTTCTGTTACTGGCTCCATCATAAGCAAGTACTGTGGAATACTTTATTTTCGCTGGATTAATTTTCGCTAAAAAAGCGTTTTGGGTGTTTTGTATGGAATTTATTTTCACGGATTTTTGATGAGTTTAATGTGAAATATAGGGGAAAAAAGTATATTCGCTGAATTTTATTTTCACGGAATCATTCTTTCAGCGAAAATAGCGAAAATAAAGTATTCTACAGTAAATTCTCTTGTGTGTCTGCACACTTCTACACAAGCTACCAGTTTTCTCTGTCCAGGCAGGGGGTGTCTTCTCTTTTTTTTTTCCTATGTTTATAATCAATTTCACAATGCTTTCTTATTGGTTAATTCAAGTCAGGTGTCATGTCTCTGATGTTTGGTCCCACTATGGTACTCAGCAACTGGTAGATTGAAGAAAAATATATCAGTATTTATATATACTCAGATGCAATAAAAAAAAATGTGAACACTGTCAGTTACATTTGTATCTGTCAACATGGGATATTTACATGGAGACTAAAGTGGTGTTCACTTGTGTGTGAACCGCCGGGACTGAGTCTAAATGTCATGTCATGTCTAAAAAACACTTGATCTTGGTCCCGGATCGAAACTCAGCGTCCCGGAGCGAAACTCAGCACATGCCGAGATTTGCTGTCTGAACACTCACCACAAGTCGAAATTACACCCTCGGTGGTAAATTTAAGAGAACATATGCTGATTTATACTAGTACAAATGTATGCCATGATGATGAAGGGAAATGCAGCTACATATGGTTGGATGCATAAGAGACTGTCAGTCATTAAAACTGTAGCATAGGAAACGCTGGTCATTCTTGAGATATGAGAGAATAAAAGGTCATGACATCTCCAACCAGCATACTCTGATTTAGCGACATTATAATCGCTGTTATTCTAGAACATAGGTCCTACAATATAGAGGGATAGGAAAAAGCGGTATTTCTTTTGATATTACGTGGTTTGAATCCTGTTATTTGGTCACTGGTTAGTTTATTTACATAATGGTCTGCCTTCCTAGCTTAATTTAGATCACATCGCGTGGATCACGAGCCGTGACTATGCAAATCGCATGTAAATTGCTTATACATTTGCATATGTAAATCAAGAGTTAAATGATGGTGATTTGTAAAACCATAGACACTTTATAGCGTTTACATCCATTAGACAGAATGGGTTTAATCTTTTCACCACCAGACTTTCTGACCCAAATTTGTCTGCACTTTTTTCTTGTATTCTTCAATATTTGTAAAAATGAACCCCGATTTCGGAGCCAACAGACTGGAAAGTACAGATTATAAACGGGACTATTTTGTCAATTTGTGATGAAAAGAGGGAACTAGTGGTGGAAAGATTAACACTACTCCCATCCCATCATTTTTGATGTCAACTTTATTTTTGTCTCTCACAACAGCAACTTAGTTGTGCACATAGTAACAAGTGAGAAGTATTGAGCTAGTAACAAAAATGCATTTAGGGCTTTTTTCTTATTTTTTATTTCAATAAATTATTTCAAGATCCGTGTTATGCATGAAATTGAATGTAAAAACATGACAAATAAATGTCATAGTGGCATCAAAAACATTCTTTTTCACAAAAGCAAAAGTACTTTTTGTGTATTTCCACACTTAATAATGTGTTACACACATTTGATGATCGTAAATTTACCTTAACACCATATGAACTATAGAAAAAAATTGAAGCGGGGGAGTCGCCACCTGCGCATGCGTCAGATGGCCACTTCATAGCATGTAATTTTTTTTTTACAAACAAGTGTCCATCCATGAGGCTTTGCGTTTTTACCATGTGTTGTTATGATTGTCGCTTGGGAC